TCCCAATCAGCCCCAGTCATCATGATCAATGCTCAGAAATTAAGGGAATTGTAGTCCAAAACATTTGGAGAGGAAAAGTTGCCTACCCTCGGTATAGACAATGTGTCCAGTTCAGAGTTTAACACAGCTGAAGCTGGAGAGAACTGGCAGGTTCTAAGCATTCTATCTTCCAGAAGTGACATGTGGTCTCACAAGCAAAGTTCTGATAGAAATCAAAGCTTGGACTAAACTGCAGCTCAGTCCCTTTGAGTTACTTGTGCCAAAGAACCTTCTATTTCACAGTGCTGTCATGATGATGAATGAGATTATGAAATAATGTTACTTACCCAAAGCCTGAGAACAGGTTCTAAATCTAAACATACAAAGCACTGGGATGAGCAATATAAAGGGCAATTTAAACTGAGCTGTAATATCACTCATTATGTTGAGCTACTGACTCTACAATTGCTTCTGGACCACTTGAAAGGATGGCTAGCAAAAGAAGACTGTTATATGTTTTAACTGATACCTTTGTTGTGGTTTTTATGTGCCATCAAGTTATCTCTCAATTATGGCTATGCTGTGAATAGAAAATGGTGCCTTTCAAGCCAGATTTGTATGGAACAGACTTTATGGAGGCCTGTGAAGCCTCCCTTGTATAAAAATAATGCAGTCCTGCTCCATTAAAATCAATGCAAGGTTTGTTACTATCTTCAGTATGAAGCAGATCAGTACCTGGATGCATGTCCCAAATATTTCAATATTATTTGCTCTTATATAATGGCTAAAGGTAAAGGTTTCCCCTTGATGTTAAGTCCAGTCATGTCTGACTCTAGGGGGCGATGTTCATCTCCGTTTCCTAGCCGAGGGAGCCAGAGTTTGTCTGCAGACAGTCTCTGTGGTCATGTAGCCAGCATGACTAAACAGCAAAGTGCACGGAATTCTATCTACCTTCCCACCGAAGTGATACCTTTTCATCTACTTGTATTTGCATGCTTTTGAACTGCAAGGTTGGCAGGAGCTGGAACAGAGCAATGGGAACTCACCCCATTGCACAGATTCGAACTGGCAATCTTCTGATCAACCAGCCCAGCGGCACAGCAGTTTAAACCACTGCACCACCTGCATCCCTATATAATGGCTACAGCACAGAGAAATGCAGGAATACCTAAGTTGCAGGAATACCTGAAGCTTTGTTGTTGTTATGTACCATCAGGTTTATCTCCAACTTATGGCAACCCTATGAATGAAGGCCCTCCAGAATGTTTTCTCCTTGTCAGCCCTGCTCAGCTCTTGTAAACTCAAGGCTGTGGCTTCCTTTATGGAGACAATCCATCTCATAGTTGCTCTTCTCTTTCCACTGCTTACCCTGCCTTTAACTTTCCCTAGCAAGATTGTCTTCTTCAGTGAGTCTTGCTTTCTCGTGATGTGCTCTAAACTTCGCTGAATTAGTAGTACTAGAGATTGAAGCATAAGAACAAATAAGACTCAGGCCTACAGATACTTCAAAATGGGCCTCAGACTTTTGTATCCATGTATTTTTACTTGTTTTGAGTTTGCTTACATACCTTTTTATACACTTTAGCATGTCTGAAATAAGATCTGTTCTTATTTGTTTATTATATGTCTATACAACCCAATAGCCAAACATGATGATGGTGATGATACCAATACTTTGGAAGTGTTTAGATGCTGAACCTTAACGCTTCTCTCTGTGGTAAATCTTCATTGTTGTTGTTCTCCACATATTACAGATGAGGTGCAGATGAGGTGAGGTGGGGAATATATTAAAACCACCTATTAGCAGAGGAAGAGTTAACCCTCTTTTCCCCAGTGCTGGAGCATTTTCCTGGATCTAAACTGCATTCCCAAGCTGATATTAGAACCAAAGAGAAAGGTTAAGAAATACAAATACCGTGGGGAACATTTGTGTCTGTTGGTGAAACTGTCCTTTAAGTAAGGTTCTGCTCAGAACACTCCTGCCAATGGACCAATAAGAAGAGTTAGTTTTTACCCATTTTCCTCTTCCCCGAAGGTCCCCATGGTTCCACCACTGTTCCAGAGAGGCCCTCAAACTTCCAGGGCAGGTTTTCTAGAGGGCTGCAGCAGGAGCAGGGAATCGACAAACAATGACTCCTCAACCATTCTACCACAATGATTACTGCTTTAGAAGCCACTGGAGACAAGTTATGGGTCCAACTCAGTATTTACATGTGTATTTTTCTTGCATTTTCTAGGAGCATTTGCAGCTGCAGAAGAGAATATAAACCAGAGAAGTGGCTTGGGTCATATATTCCCTTTCCTATTGCCATTGCTCCAATCTGGAGCATCCTGCATCTGTTCTAAAGTAAAATAATCATTGGAGATATGTGATCAAGATCTTTTAAGTCAAGTATAACCTAATTCTTAGCTATTATGTCATGCCTAGATCTAGCTCACATAAAGAAACAATACTTTTTATCTGCAAACGTTACAAGAGTTTTAAATTTTCCATCATATGTATTTCAAAATAAATTTCATTATTTCTTCTATTTCTGATGTTCAACTTGCAAGTGTCATTCATTAAGTAATTTGGGAGGGGGAAAAAACTGATGGGGGAAGAAACCCACAAAACAGCCCACCAAGCAGATTAGTGACTGACTCAGTAGGGAGGAGGATGAAAACCCAGGGATGGGGAAGGAATGGGTGGCTGGAATACTGGGTAGTGTTCAACCACCACTCCAACAGCTCCATACATCAGTATTTTACTGAAACTCACATCCATTGAGATATAGCAGAGATTTCTACAGAAGTGCTTAGAGTGGCACGTGTGTTTATGATGCAAAGCAGTTAAAGCAGCAGCTTACCTTGCTACTGGTTTAAAATTTACTCTTGGTCACTCATGCAACCTTGACCCCAAATATAGTTCTAATATGGTATTTTTCAAGTCCTACAGACCTGCCAGGCTGCACTATTAGAAAGAAACAAAGGCCGTATTGTTTATATACAGATACAAAAAGACAGAGGGAAAAATACAAGTATACACAACTCTACTCCATAATCTGATATTCCCATTGCAGATTCTGTGTAAGGAGATCATACTAATTTAGTGCATCCAGTGCCTGAAAGCTGCCTGGACCCAAGGAAACAGCACATGTCTGCACTGATCCCTCAGGAATATGCAGGAAAGATAAGAAGGCAGGAACCATCCCTTGGGAGTACAGTACGTGCTGAAGTTTGATCCCTGACATCTCCCATTAAAAGGATTATGTAACAAGGGATATGAAAGACTTGAGACATTGGAGAGCCACTACCAGTCAAAGCAGGCTGGACAAAATAGTCTGTCCGATTCCGTCTGATTCCTTTGAACACAGTATATGTGATGCAACCTATCATGGATATGGAAAACCAGTTATTACCTAACTTTTGCTGTCTCCATCTCCCACACATCCAGCTGCATTCAAATCTTCTGCATGTAAGAAGGATGCATGTGGACACTGTTTTGCATGATACTTCCAAATATATTTAGAACAAGGAGGATGTGTAACAAAAGGCTGCAGAGTATAGTGGTCTTGTTTAGGGTATCAGCCAACCATTCTTCCCTTGTTTCTGCCTCTCTCTTCCCCACCAATTCCTAGTCAGTCTTGCCTTGGCTTTCACTATTCTTCCTGCTACTTCAGCAAAATCTGCAGTTTCCCAAAGCCTGGTGATACTTCCCACTTGTGCATGGAAAGTAACTACATAAGGATGTGCACTTAGAGAACAAGTGCATAGTTAATATATAGGATTGATGCTGCAGGAGTGATTCCTTCAAAGTTTTTAAAAACTAGTAACTTCTGAATAAGGCTAATTACACAATATGGATACCACTTGTAAGCAACCATAAGTTGCTCCCCATGACTCAGGGAACTTTTTATTATGATACTACAAACCATTCTTTTTTCTAGTCAACAACCTGTGTCACAAGGTGAGTCACACCACATAGTGTGCCACATGGAACCTCTCAGTGATGGCCAGAATGTGAAAAAAGCCCTAATGTTAAAAATGCACTTTACTTTAAGATAAGTAGTCTATTCATCAAGACATTAACTCTGAAACTACTTTCTCAAAAATACACTTCTTGTATCATACCCAAAATTGCACCTTAAAAATGTAACAAACCTTCATTCTGAGGTCATTCACTTTATGTTACTAACTGGCATTGTCAGTAGCTTTTTGAAAACACTATGTTTCTGAAAACATTTGCTAGAGTTGAAACCAATATTCTTTAAACATACTAATATGAGGAAATAAATTATTTGTGCCAACTCCAAGAGGAAAGCCAAGAGCAGCTAATGCTATGCTGTGTTCCAGTATATACTTATGTCTTCATTTTCTTGGCATGTGTATAATCTCTGCATGTAGAATAAAACCCTTTCAATATGCCTAAGAGACTGCATGTGCTCGACACATTTAATCCTGGCAAATAAATCATAAGACAAGGGCCAGATAATAATTCATTAGCAGACCACACCAAGGTAGTACATAAGAGTACGAGCCAACTTGATTTTTTTGTTTAAATTGAACACATCAAGATCCATTTTAGCTATCAAAAACCAAAAACAAAAATTAACCAAAAATAGTGTCAGGAAAGAGGTCTTCTGCTTTCCTTTCTCTCATACATACCAGGCCAGATTTCACTAAGCTACATTTCAACCATTTAAAAAAAACACAACACATAGCATACCCACTTTAATGTATCATTATTCAGTGGAACTTGCTTCCAAGTAACTGTGCTTTTTGGATGACAATCTTATATCCCAATCCTAAATATACTGTACAGAAATGCATCTCATTAATTTCAGTGGAATCTAAGCCCACATAAACTTGTTTAGGACTATGGCTATATAAAGCCTAGAGACGAACAAATATTTGAAGACAGGTTGATTGAAAGGCAAAGTGTTGCTGTTATTCTTTTGAATGATAATTTAATTATGTCTGTCTACACTGTTTTCTATTTGAATTTTAGTTGAAAGATATTGTGTACTGGGTTATATATATGAAAATTCTTGTGTGATCAAGGGCAACATTCTGCACACATTTAGACAGAAAATGTCCTATAATTCCCAGCTTGTTCCAGACAGAATGCTATGAGTGGTAAGAATTCTTTATATCTAATGTTCTCCTAATTTTTGTTTAAACTGTATGTGGCTATCAGCTACCATATATATGCAATTTGTTCTAAAGTTGGTTGATTATCATATCTTCCTGTCTCTTCTTGGCTTGTCTCAGCTGAGTTGCTGTCAAAGGAGCAAGTTACTAGTCCATGTCATTAGGATAACTTCAGAGCCCAGGGCAGGACTTTGCTGAGAACTTAAGTGGGCTGCAGTGGCAAATCTCCTTGAATCAGCATTTTAACTTACTACCTGCTGATGTATTATGCAGAGGCAGAACATGCAAATACAAATTAATGAAAGTTCAGTAGTTCTTTCTGGCCACTGCTCTGCTTCAAATTGCCCCTCCATTATTTCCTTCTCCATGGCATTTGAAATGTGCATTTGGAGAGGAAAACACTGTTTTGAAATCTTTGGGAAGAGGATTAGAGCAGAAGGATAGGGTATGTGGAGCATCTTCTCTTCCACTCCAAGTCTCCCTCCCGCCTTACAGCTTTCCAGAAAGGTATCTGTCTCTCCAAATAAGCATTCTGAATCCCATAGGGAGCAGAATGGAGTCGATGAGAAAAGAAATAAGGGTCATTTCTCTCCTGCCACTTCTTTACTCTAAACTCCCTAGAAAAAATAGTAATCAAGCTTTTCTTACAGGTATTTGTGTGCAACATGTAGTTAGCTTCTAGCTCTGAATAATGAATCAACAGGTGCTGGCAGAAGGCTTGTCTAAAGCACTTTCTCATTAACAACAATTTATAGGCTCTGGTACTGTAGTCAGCATAAGACGTTCTCAGCACACAATGCCTCGCTTTGCAAATCCTATCATGAATGAATAGAACACACACAGAGAAGTTAGAGCACAGCTCACCAAACAGAGTCAGAGAGGATGTCACGGAGCTTTAGCACAGGGAAACCCACAGTGGTACTTTCACCATGCATCATGACTGGTGCACTATACATCTAAAGCAGGCATTTCTGGGAACTTGAAATAGCTGAAGCTGAGGGTCTTTTCCTCAAGACATATATTGACATTTAGTGGAAATGATCCCTCTTTTTACAAACCTGTATAAGAGGTGGGGACAACCTCACTACGATATAAAGTGTGGGGGGATCCTGTGTGACAAAATCATCTATTAATCTAGGTAAGTGAAGGTGAGGTAGCTGTGTTGGTCTGTTTCAATAAAAACAAAACAAAGAGCCTTGTGACACCTGAAAGACAAACAAATGTAAACGCGGAATGACTAACAAATGCTAAATGTCTGTGTCCATGGAAGCGTGTGTCACAGTAAGTACCTGCCATCTCTAAGGTGCCACAAGCCTTTTTGTAGATAATTCAAAGTTGTGTGCTCACAGCACTTGGATTCCAACTGCAATCCTATGAGCTGTTCCTTGGAAGTAAGTCTCCTTGAGCCGAGCGGGGATTACTCCCAAGTAAACACGCAAACGGTTGCGTTGTTAATGATCTTCTGCGCACGTTCTGCGACGTAGCGCGCGGGACATTTTAAAAGGCCCGGGGCGCTGGGGACCGGCCCCACGCGTTATGTGACCAAGTTAGTTAAGCGGGAGGAGGGTACCCCAGCAGCGGCTGCCTCTTTCCTGCGGGAGGATGCTACTCTAGTCAGGCTGCAATCCTACGCATCCTTCGTGCGCAAGGTCGGTCCCATTGAACTCCACGGGGCTCCCTGTTGCGGAACCGGGCACAGGATGGGGCTTACGGAAGGGTTTAGGCGGCACAAAGGGCGCCCAAGCCCTCCGGCGCCTCAAGCCTAAAGGTCCTCGCGAGCCAATTCTGTCCTCTCTCTCTCTCTCTCTCCCGCCTTTTTTGCGCGTCTCCCTGTCAGCAACGAGCTCTCACGGCCTTCCCCTCCTCTCTCCCGCTCGGCTCCCGGGACTGCCGGGCCGTCAGTGAAAGAGAAGGGGACGTTAGAGGTCAGCAGCAGGAAGGCGCGGGCGGCGGCGGACGAGAGCTGGAGAGAGCCGAAGGGTTTGGGTCCGGGGACTCACACAGTGAAGTGATAGACGAAGCACTTCCAGCCGGTGGGTCTCTCCAAGAAGTTGTAGACTCTGCCCTGGATGTTGCTGCGGCTCAGCAGGGGTCTGCGCACGCTATAGATGGAGACGCGCGGGTCCAAGTTGATGGAGGGGCGCGGGAAATCGCTGCTCATCACCACCGTTGCTTCAGCCGTCTCGCTGCGGAACGCCGGCGGCCGAGGAGCGCTGGCGGTGGTGGTGGGTCCCGTCGGCGAGGAGAGGGAGAAAGGCGCGTAGTGCGCGTTGGGGGCGTCCTCGGCCAGCTCCAGGGAGGAGGGCTTCATGCTTCCTTTCCTGGACACGACGGAGAGGCGCCCTAGGCTCCAGGTTTTCCTCTCCGTCTTGGGGGAGGAGGACGACATGGTGTCCCGCGAGGAGCGGCCGAGTGGGCTGGGGAGAGCCGAGGCAGGCCAAGCGGCGGAGCGGGGCCGGGTGGGGGGCACTGCTGCGCGCCCCCAGGAGGCGGGAGACGGAGGCGGACAGGCACGGCTGGAGAGGATCACACAACACGCTCCGCTCCCGGCTCGCTGCTCGCTCCGCTCCCTGAGAGGGCTCCTTGGCCCCGCCCACTCAAGGGGAGGGCTCCTCCTCGGGGAAGGAGGCTCCGCGCCGCGCGGGGAGCCGCCGCGGAATGGCACCCCTTTCCCCGCCCCTGGCTCCTCACAGCTATGTGAGCAGCAGAAATTCAACAGGTGCTCTTGGGCTTTTGATTATTGTTCTTCTGTCTCCTTTGCCTAAAATCTGGCAGCCGCTGTACCATGAACTAGAAGGGAAAAAATGCCAGCACGAGGAGCGCAGTCTAAATCAAAACTATGTTGTTATATGGTTGCATGTTAGTCTTTCGGCAACCTCTGAAATAGGTTGGTCGTGCTTTGCCAGGAGGATTTGAGTCCCTCACACGCCTTTAAACCTTACTTCAGTTATAATGTGGTGGGGGGGGGGGGGCGTGTGGGGAAGGGTGGTCCTTTTACTTGTTGTGTGGTTTTTTTTTTTTGGAAGAGCCCAGCAAGCTGTTCATTTGGCTAAAATTGGGGAGGGGGAGCCAGGATTATGGCCTGTGAATTTCATCAAGAATGCCCTATGTTCCTTCCATAGTACTAGTATGAGACACTGGCAGCCAATGGGAATGGAAAGCTTAGTCAAAGCTTCCCCATTTGATGCTTCCAGAATGTTTTGGCCTACAGCTCCAGTGGTGGGGATGGTGGTAGTTGTGGTGCAAACACATCTGAACAGTACCATCTTGGGGAAGTTGCCTTAATCTGATACTTTTTTTTCATGTTGATCAAATGCACACACGCAAATACCATGCAGCCATTCAAAATGCAGGAGTCCTAAAAGCAATACTGCCATCACATATGAAACTTGTGAGCATCACTGAGGAGGAATCTCAAGCATGAAAGGCAGTATATCCAGCTGGATAAAGGAAGTGAGGTGTGAAATGGGAAATGCCTAGTTTAGATCTTATATTTGCTACAATCCAGCACACACTCTCCTAAGTCCCATTGAACTGAGCAAACCTGCTTAGGTGTGCACTGCAGGATGCCTCAGACATGCTGCTGTCCTTCAGGGATGTGCACTTCCTCACCAATGTGACGATAATGACACTGATCATCACCACCATCCTTGCAGCAGCAGTCCCCACCCTGTTGGCCTTGCCGATAATTGAAGTTGCAGCCCAACAAATCTGGAATGCCCCAGGTTGAAGAAGGCCGCTTTACATGGTTCTGAGGATCACGGAGAATGTGGATGAAGCACTTTGATCATTGTGAAGCACAATAGAAGCAAATATCCTTGGCAGCAGCACCCTGTTTCCTCCTCAGACCACACTAAAGCTGAGGCAGCTATCCAGGCTTTTTCCTGTCTAGAAAAAGGTCACCAGACTTGTCCAATATGCACACGTTTTACAAAGCCACTGGTTGATGCACAATGAACGGGCACATTTTGATGGCATACAAAGAGCTACAAACTGAAGCAATCCATTCATCCTAAACATGAAACTGGATTGGGTTCCGGGGGATGGGGGCAGAGAGCAGCTGCCATGAATGATCCATCCGGAGCAAGTGAGGAATTGAGAAGCATTATTCAACTTGTTAGGGAACCTGGAATCTTATTAGTGAGATACCAAATTCCTCTTAATGTCTGGGCAGACAATCATGAGAAACACTGCTGTCTTGTGACTTTGTAAGTTGAAACTAGCATGCTTACTCATACTTGCTGCTTGCAAGTAAGCACCTACCCAAAGCAGAGCTACTTAGTCGCAAGTAAATGCCCAGTCCGCTGAGCTAAACAACAGAGTGGAACACTTGCACACCAGTGTATAATCTCACAAATGTCACATGATGTGAAAAGCTCCGGCACTTGAAAGTAAATCCTGGGCCACTGCTTGCAGTGTGCATGGAGTGCAAGGACACAGCAAGTAGCGCAAGAATGTACAGGGACACAGAGGGGCAAAATTACACAAGAAGCAATGCAATATGGAATACTGGTACAAAAACATCTGTGATCATTCAAGTGACTGCAGGAATTCCTCCACCACCACTGAAAACTATAAGATGGGAAATGGCCTGTGGAAATATCTTCAATAAAAGCACTGATCCTGGTATATCTTCATGCATTTTAAAAATGTGGCACAGAAAAAGCATGGTTTACATCCCTCCCCAGCCACAATGAGATCCATTTCCCTTTTGTAGGGGTGGAAGAGCTAAAGCTATTGTCATCAATATCTTAAAGCTAAATATGCTAATACTCTGTTTTATATATACAGCTATCCTATAGATTTCTAGTGTATACCACCCTTCCTCAAGCTGGTTCCATTCAAATGTTTGGTTGGGGCTGAAGAGAGCTGAGGTCCAAATAATCTGGGAAGCATCTCATTAGGGAGGCTAGTGTATATTGTAGTTGGGTGCTGAAATGTGGGCAGCATAGCCATTGCTTTTCTTTCCATCATGTTCGATTTGATCATGATGTATCCTTATGAAGGTATATGCAAACATCCCCTTTAACTTCTCCAAACTACCTTCTGCAGTCACAAGTATAACTTTCCCAGCTTTGTTTGGTTTATTTTCAATGTGATTCCTTCACACTATAAGTAGGAAGAATGTGCAGCTCATCTTTATAAGGTGGTGGTTAAATCAAGAACCCTTTGGCATTCAGACATTCACAATAATCTAGTCTGATTCTGCTTAGAATGCAACTTGATAATTAACTCCCAAAATTAGGTAGCTTGGCATCTCTATGAGCAAAAGTTGATACAAGTGCTGCCAACAGAAATTTCCACTTGCACAATACTGCTTATTTCCTAGTGAGGGGTTTTTGGATTTTGGTTTTTTTTGTTTGTTTTTGTTGTGTGTGTGTTGTTCTTATTTTAGTAAACATGTAGATTCTTAAAGCTTGTTATGCTCATAAAAAGACGACAGGTGCCAAACAGTGCAAATCCAAGATAGGCTTGCTTAAATAAATAGATGAAGTACTGACTGTTTTGTCGGCTCACCTGGGATAAGATTTTGTTTTTAATGTTGAATCATTTATGTTGCCTCAGTTTTTAAAGCATTGGTGTCCCAAATTTGGCTGTTGCTCATCATGTACTTTCAAAAATGGTTGGTTTTTGGGAAACCCCTGCTTAATTAGTTAAGTTGTCATGCCAGGTGAAGCTGGGGTGACTTGGCACAGGTTTTATGTGTTTTAACTTCAAGCCACTTCAAGCAGTGGCTGCTGCTAATAAGACAAAATATTCCACTTCAGATACAAGAGCCCATGTACTCCAGTGCAGCAGCGTTAGCTAACAAGTTCTAACCCCAGCATTGAAGCAGCACATGTCCTTTGATCAGAAATTCTTCTTTCTTTCTCTTTGAGCTCACTATAGAAAAGAACTGGTTAACAAGCTTCTATCCCAGAGCTGTGCTGAGTTCAAGGGTTATACTGGTGCTTAGACAAAAACGTTGTGGCAAGATAAGGTGCTATATAAAGTTAAAAAACCATCTTGTTATTTGCAGCTCTATTCAAAGCTGTCTAGGAAGTTCTTCAGATGCTTTGTGTAAATGAGTAAGGCTGCTTTCTGCACAGAAGCATACTTGTATGTTTGCAACATGTACCAAAGACGACATCCTATGTACAGCCATATAGCCAGATCCTAGCACTACTGATCAAAAAGCATTATCCGCTCTCCTTCGTGGATTTTTTTTGTTGTTTGCTTGTTTGTTTTGATGCTAGGTAAAAAGACAGAAGAAGTGATGAAAAAACATAAGAGGAATACAGATGCAAGGCAATGATATTTGGGCTGGAACCCTCCTAAAATTCTGTGAATGAATGAGGGCAATTGCACAATAAAAGAACTTATCTGGAAAAATTCTAAAAACAACACTTAAGGTCTTTCAATTATGCTGAACAACTACTGCCAACAAATAACAGAAAACTTGGTGTTACATCACAATCACAGTAGTGCCTGACATCACAGGCCCACATACTAGGATAATTATTCAGGAGTGCCATGCCAAACTGTGTAATCCTAATCTCATTTATCCTCATAATAGCACCGTGTGGAAGAAGGGCAAGCAGGCTGCAATAATGTGTACTATGAAATGACATCAGTTAAAAACAGTTTCAGCATTCATGGATTTCATCCAAAGAATCCTGGAAAGTGTGGTTTGATGAGATTGCTGAGAATTCTGTAGAGGAAAGACATATTAAACCACTTAATGTGTGTAGTGTGGATATGCTGAGATTATTATGCCCTGCAATTACAACATCTATGTGTTACAATTTCTTATAGACCTCTGTTAATTCTATATAAGAAAAGCACATGTAGATATAGAGAGCATATACAGCAGCGCATGCGTGTCTCTTTTACTATATGTGCCACATGCCCATGGAACATGGGAACTGCATTAGATTGTGTCAGGCTACTGACCCTTCTAGCTCGGTGCAGAGTTTGAACTCGGGACCTTTTGCATCTAGAGGGTATGCTCCACCACTGAGTTACAGCTCTGCCTCAGGTGTACATGCACTGGGAAGCCACTACAAACTGCTGTTTTCTGTTGTGAACACAGGGGTGTGTGCACTTCACCATATGATGCCACACACGTTGACTCAACAACATTTCTTGAAATGGAATGGATATCTGTGTAAGAAACCATAAAATGTAAAGCTCCTCTCAGAATAGAGATTATCAGAGATATTTGAGTGACTTGGGCAGAAAATTAATATGGTGTCCTCTCCACATACATCGTAATATAGGTCCTCCATGGTATTAAACATATAATATGGAGAGGTCTTGTGAAATGTTGCATTAGAAAACTGGCAAAGGTAGTTAAGAAAGTGACCTATATGAGCTCAGCAGGAAAGCTCTTATTTAAATTCCAACCAAGTCCTTAACTCACTATGAAGTCTTAGGGAGGCTACTTTTTCAGGCCCAGCATCCATTCCATCTGCCATGTGGGGGCTGCCTACATTACAGGGAGGTTGCACACATTACAGAGAGAAAATGCATGTGAAGTTCTTTGACCCCATAACACTGGAGTCCAAGATATCGAAATCTGAGAGCTTACTTAAAGTACAAATTCCCCAATAGCATTATAACATTCACCCAAAAACGGAGGAACATATGTCACAGATAGCAACATTCAGCTTTGGTTTTTGGTGCCACAGTTTTGTTTCATGTCAAAGGAACACATTGATCTGAGTACCTAGCCAAGGACCAGTGTGGTATAGTGGTTAGAGTGCTGGACTGGGGGGTCAGGAGATTGGGGTTATAGTCTCAACTCATGCATGAGGTTCTCTGGGTGACTTTGGGCTACTCACTGACTCTCAGCCCAATCTTCCTCATAGCGCTGTTGTGAGGATCCAGTGGAGAGGATCGTGTATGCCCCCTTGAGCTGCTCAGAAGAAACAGCGAGATGTAAATAAATAACCACGGGGCTGTCAGAACCAGCAGGAATCTGATGGACGGTCACCACACTACCCATGTGACTTGTGAGCGCCTGGCATGCTGAATTAGCACAAGCGATCCCCTGAAAGCCCGTGTCCAAAACAGCCTTATCAAAATTGTGTCATTGTATTGCTTTTTAGGAGTCTGATATGCTAATCAGTTTCTGATTAGGCTATCCTATTTGACATGATATTAATGATTACCCTGCTTTCTACATAGCTGAGAATCAACTTACTTTCTGTCCTGCCTGGTAAAAAGTTAATGTTATCTCTAAAGCTTGCATATTGCACTAAGAGATATTGGCCGAGCATAAGCTACCGCCTTGCGTACTGTGCATCACTTCAATCCATGCCGTTAGGCATAAGCAAAAATGTTTGCTGGATTTGGATCAAAGGTACAGACAAAGGGTGCTTTACCCTTGAATCATGTTAGGGGTTATAGTGACCAGCAATGGAACATGTCACTTGCCTCTCCCACAACATGTTATTGCTGCTACTGTTTCATATTTATTATACGCAAGAAATGTGCTACGTTGAGGAGGAGTGACCCATATGTGATGGATTTCTGTGAACTGTTGTAGGCCCCATCTGGAGAAAACTATTGACCACCCTTCTCCCTGCAATTCACCCAGGTTTTGATGCAAAACTCGATCCACCTAGCACTATAGATGCTCGCAGAATATTTGCTTTAAAAGCTTGTATCAGGCTAAGAATGTATTGTATCACTAAATGATATGCTGTTACAAACTAGTACAGGAAGTACTACAAAGAATCAAGGAAGTATTGAAAGTAATATCAAGGGTCAAATCTCCAAGCCATAATTCTGGAATATTGTCATTGAGGTCAATGGGATGCTAATGGGATTACACCATTACATCCTAGAGTGGTGATAATGAGTCATGACTATGTAATAAGCATTCTGAATCCCAGGGAATAATTGCTTTAATTATAATGAGGAAAGGCTATTAACTACATGGAATGTTACATACAGTACTATGCAGTATCTTAAAATGCAAACATATCTTATGTTCTGCTTTCTTTTAGCATCCTGACAGGATCCTCATCCATATATATATCATAAGAACCTTGTGGATATTCTAATACATATCAGCAATGCCCCAATCCTTTACTTGTTGCTTATTGTCATTTGTACACATTATAAGGTGCTGGATCTTCCTGATGAGTCCAGAGTGAATTCTGGCAGCCAGATTTTATTCCACAATCTTCTCTGAACACGTGCAGAAGGTCTCTGTATGCCTTTGCCCAGGCCTCCAGCATGACAAGAGGTTGACGCTGACAAATGGGGCAGGGGGTTGTCAGCCCCTCAGTGCCATGCTAGAGATCTCACTGCCTAGGCTTCCAAGTCTCCAGCGCAATTGTGGAATGCTGATGTCACTGCCCTTTTGTCATCACCTCTCCCTTGTCAAATTAGAGGCCAAGGAGCATAGTTAAATATGAAATTCTCCGCCACAAGCTGCAGTGAGGGTCACCACTTTGGATGGTGGATGGCTACAGGCCACCTCCAGTATTTGAGGCACATTCCTAAGTATACTAGTCGCTGGGAAACCGGGCCAGGAGGGTGCTGTGACACTTATGTCCTCCTTGTCGGTTTCCTGCAGACAGCTGGTTGGCCACTGGGTGAGAAGAATGTTGGACTAGATGGAACCATGATCTGACTGAGCATGGCTCTTCTTCTGTTCAGTTTCTCTCTGTGTGTGCCCAGACTGGAGCATGGTGTCCATCTGAGATGTTGTGATCCTGTTTGGGAGAAATGGAATGCTATCATTTTGCTCACTACCAAAACTTTTCAGAATACAACCCAACTGCTGCTGATCTTTATATACTTTCAAGGAAATCTCCACATAATAATGAGAAACATGACCAACCATACACACTCATTGAGATTCTTCATACTCTAAATTCTTTATACAGTATTACATTCTTTCTCCATTTAATATATCCTTTCCATCTTCTTCTGATCCAGGGAAATTGCAATGAGTTCAAGAAGAACTTCAATCCAGCAGAGGCTCCTACTCAAGGACGCTGGAGGAGGGAAACTATTTTCTCTGTTCCCAATTCCCTCTGCCACCCCTTCCTTCCACTCTGTCCCAGAAATTCCTCCAGACTTTCATCTTCCAGCATGTTTGATGGGAAGGAGAGGAATCAGCAAACTTCACCTCTCTCCCACTTCCATTCACAGTAGCATCACTTTAGCAGAACTCCAGTTGTAAACTGCTCCAGTTTAGCAGAACTCCAGCCTGGCTCCATCCCATCATTTCATGAACTGCTCTCACAGCACTGTATTTTATTCCTGAAAGAGCAACTCAAGATGTTCTTCAGTAAATACAGAAAATTAGTTATAAAAGGGCTACAGACCCATGATTCGGCATAATAGCATCACAGGACAGTCATGTCTTTCACCATTGCCAAGCAAGATAATTTACCATGTACGTCTGCAAGAAATATCAATGTACTTTATTCTGATTTTATTGTATTCATACTGGATACCCCACTATCTTTTATATGATCAGGGCAGCCTTTAGTTTTTGGCACATGTTAGCAAAATATCAAAATATCCTCCAAGAGACCTTGAAACACCTGGCTCCCTCCCTTAATTTTTCCAAGCCTTGAAAGGACTTGACCTTCATATACTCAGTATGCCAATCAGTAGTGCACACTGCCCACCAGTTCTCTCAAAGTCATCTGTTCAAGAGCCACTCAGCAAGCATCTTCCTAGTTCCCACTGAAGACATATTTCACTGTTATCCAGGTGAGAGGTGGCTGTCTCTTCACTTGAAGTAACACAGTGGTATTCCCATCACATCCTCCCTCCCACCCCACACCACCATATCAGCCATTGCCTACAAGCATCCTGATTTCTTGCCCCTTGGGGTCTCTCTGTGTGTTCTGGCTGCATGATGCCAATGAAATGTTGCTTAGACTGAATAGCTTCTTTCCTCAAGCTCCAGGCAATGGAGGAAACCTATGGTCATATAAAGCATCAGCCCAATTGTATTGCTTATTATTATTTATATTCAGTTTTTTTCCCTCCTTCAAGGAAAATTTAAATAGTGCTCCTCCTCTCTATTTTTTTCCTCACAGCAATCCTATGAGGTCGCTTAGACTGAGAGTCAGTGAGTGGCTCAAAGTCATCCAAAGAGCTTCCAGGCTGAGCAGGGAATAGAAGCTGAAAACCCTTAAGTTTCAGAACCACCCTCTAACCACTGTACCACATGGCTCTTGGTTGCAAAGGCTTCTGCATACAGTCAGCCTGGACTTCTGCTAAGAGCGATGTGTATCTTCCCTGGAAAGCTGCTGTATGGGAAGGAAGAAGGAAAAAGAGAAAATGAGGTAATAGAAAGGAGGTGGAAAAAAGAGGAAAGGAGTGGGTTACCCACTGCTGGCTTTGGGCTGCCTACTACTAATGTACGGAGCCCTCCCAAAGTCTGTCTATCCCTGTTCTGGGATCACTGGACCTTTTTGCCTTCCTCTTTATACTGCTGGAATCCCTTGCAGGAGAAATGGATTTTGGCATTGGATAGTTTCTCTTTGGGAGGGCTGAATGAGGAATTAAAACTCTTTTCTTTGCTATGAGTTGTCTGTGCAGTTTGTTTGTTTGCTTCTTTAAGTGGCCTTTAGAGAAAGTCCCTGCAGAAACAGGGCATGGAAAAATGGCAGTCTGACTTTGCCAAAGAGCTCTGAACAGAGATTGCATTCACCCATGGAAATGAGATATAAAGTGAGGGTTTAATGGTCAGTTGTTGAAGCCTAGATGGATAGTGTGGGTGGTTTGACATTTCTAACACTGGAGGGCAGCTTTGTGTTTTCGATAACAGAATGCTATTCTCATTTGAATTTGTGGATCGATGTATCTACTTGTAGTTTGTTCATGGTGTTGAGCTGTCTGCCATTTGGCTTTTATGTAAGAGCGTTTTTAAGTGTTCTATATTTTGTTATGTTGCAGGCAACCCCTGAAGAAGGAGGCTGTTTCTCTGAAATGCTGGATGAGCATAACCTGGGATGCTTGTAACTCAGTTACTTGTTTTTATTTTCAAACTGGTGTGCTGTAAATCTACTTTATCTGTTTTCAGTTTTGTTGCAGGATTTAAACCTGAGCACTACATAAGGAGCATGTTCTTTCCACTCTTCTTTTACATAACCTCTAGGTGGAACTATGATATAATATAATAAACCAATTGTACATCAAGAAAAAGTGCATTATTTCACCATTACAGTTAAATGCTACATTTTCCTGGTGCTTAACATAAAAAGTTGCTGTAAGTGCTGGTTTGATGCACAAGCAAACCTGAGGGGTCACAACATTGTCTACAGAACTCATAAACAAATGTGAGTAGGGAAAGATGGGTGCACAGTAAATACCTTGTGTAGCAAGGTTCTGTGTCTCTGCCATCTACATGCAAACAATTGAACTGAATGGGCCCTATGTGTCTAAAACACTACATTTTAAGTTGGTGCATGAATTTCATCTGGGGAGTCAACCACACAGTTTGACCTAAGTATGGCCCCTCTTGGATGAATCATCTGTATATGGATGGCAGAGGTAGGGCCAATGTACCAGCTCCGTGCATAGGGCAGGATCAGCACTCTGTTATTCAAATCAGCCTTCAATTGCATTAATTCCATCAATTGCATTAATTCCACATAAGCTTGCATGGACTTGACTCCACTTAATCAGCTGTCTGAAATGGTAGACTGAGTTGGCACATAACTTATTCTACCTCCAGAATATAATGTAGAAAACTTTTTTTTTCCTTTTTGTAAAGAGCAGAAGATTTTTAAACTGTAAAAAGTGGAATTAAAATATCAGGAGATGCATGCAACTATATCCTAGCAAAGAAAATAAAAAAAATGAAAACTAAACATTCATAAAAATAAACACTTTCTTGCTATGCTAAGTTAACATCTAAACCTAACATTTCCGTAATAGAATGCATTCCATGATGCGGAGGTATACAACTGGCAGTCCAGCGGTGCAGGCAGCCCTTGAGACACTTCCCCATAAGTAACCTGACCCCTTGCTTTGATACATTCCTCCTGAAGATTGATTCACTGAGAAAGTCATACAGGTCGCTCTGTGCTTCCTCCTCCTCCTGCTAGCAACAAGAAAAGGCCGATCTTTTTCAGGATTGTGAAATATATGCATGCATGTATGAGCATGCACATGTGTGAACCCTACATTGAGCCAGGGTCACATATGATCCTCAGGACTGGAAAGGTTCTGCACCCCTGCCATATGAGGTGTTAAAAAAGAATCTAAACTGCCATAGGATTCTGCTTTATGCAAATATGTCTGACATTTGCATTCAGTAGCAGGTGCTGCTTCCTCTTGAGAAACCTGAATTGTAGACAGGAAACATTTATGGTTGTGAGCCGCCCCGAGGCTTCGGCGAATGGGGCGGCATAGAAGTCTCCTAAATAAATAAATAAACATTCCATATAAAAGTGGCAACAAATGTAGAATTCAAAGCATCCATAGAGGCTACACAGCCATTTCTTTTAACAACTCCTTACAGCTGAAGAAGATAATCCAGTGAATTGTGGCCACCCAAGTTTTCCAAAGTTAGGGCACAATCCTCTGCATGTTTCGTCAGAAAAAGCTCTGCAAGCCAACATGCACAGAAATATGCTTAGAATGATACCCTCAATTTAGTATTTCAAATATTAAGTATTTCAATATGTAAAAGTGATTTAGTGACAAAAAGTGTGATATAGGAAGAAATATTTCTAAATTTTTCCATGCAACTGAGCATATTGTCCCCCCATACCTCCCCACAGTAACGATGGGTACATTCACACACCACACTAACCCACCATGGCAATAATTTGTGAGAACAACCCATGGTGAGCCTGACAGACAATGTTAGTTCCAAATCTCCCTCTCCTCCCTGCTTGGTATTCCTCTAGGTATCCCAGGGTCCATGGCAGGAAAAAAGTTGCCTCCTCCCACCCTGCTCATAAACCTCTTTTGGCGAGTGATGTCTTTTTTCTCTTTGAACTTTTAAAGCTTTCTTCATTTTGACTAGTACAGATAGTCCCTTCAAAGTGCCCCACTGGCACCTTGGAGAGGATGGTCTTATTTTTAAACACTCCATGCAATTTGCACAAAAATCTACCTTTTAATTAATTTCTTACATTACCGACACATGCAACTGTGAATGTTTGCAGTTGCAGGGTTGTTGGGAGCGGGGAATCTCAGGTGGACAAACTCTGTGTGGGGGGGTGCTGATTCCAGAAGGCACCCATACTGGACATTCCTCCACAGAGGCTGCAGCTAAGTTTATTTTTCCCTTAAGTGACCCATCAAATGTAAGCAAAGGTGCCAGAGATCTCAGCTAGTGGGAAAAGAGATAATGGCTTATTTACCTCTTTTGTGACAAGAACCTCAAAAGGTTATTTTAGGGGTGGACCCTGAGGATAGCCTCAGTCTTACACAGCATTGCCTTCAGCAGCTTTAATACAAAGCTGGTTCTTTCCTCTGAAATCTGTAGACTTGCAGGTATAGGACACCTGAGCACTCACTCCCTTAGCAAGCTAAGAGGTGTGTAGTAAGAAGAGCATTAGCTTTTCCATGCTAGAGCAAGGACTGCCACCTTCCTCCCCGTCTGCTCATTATCGCCATTAAGCCCAGAGCCTGAAACTGCCTGACAGCACCATGTCACTTGGCTTTCTCAGAGTGGGCTTGACTCTGCAGAAACCTGCCCAGTTGAGACTGGGCAACTGCAGTTGTGCCCTAGGCACTAAGGCCTCAGCAAGAGGAAGCGCGAGTGCATTGGCTGCTCACATATCCAAAGGGCCTTCCTCATCTGTTGCCTCCTCCAAGCCCAGGGCCCCTAACTTGGGAGAAAACAGAAGCAGGTTTACTTACAGGAAGGGTTTGAATGAGCAGCAATGTCTGAACTTGGATCAAGATAGTATATGAATAAAGGTCTTGCCCTGACTTTCTGGAGTGCATCTGAAGCTTGTTGGATCTGTGGTTAACTTCCTGGTGCTTTTTGCTTGGTCCACGTGGCCAGATTTGAATGGGTATATGGTCCTCTGGGCATCAGGAGTTTGCACTAAGAAGGAGGAAGGTGAACAGATGTGGGAAGAGGGTATCTTGCTCCTTTGTGTGCATAAGGCACAATGCCACAGGGAGGAGGATACACAGGCTGGCCCACAGAGAACGAACTGAATGGAAACAGGATTGATTCCATGTCAAATGTGCAGAACGACCCGTCATCCTTGCAGGAGTCCATGAGGAACATTCCTATCATTCCATGTTGTTGCTGCCATCCTGTTCTCCTCTGCGTTGCCTCCCTGCCTGGTGCTCTGCCTCCTCCCTGTCTGTATTCTCTCATTGCAGCTCTGAAGCTGGGGACAGCAATCTCTTTCCTAGCCAAATCTTACAAACTTCATCCCTATCTCCAGTATGGGCAGAATTTCTGTAGGTCATATCACTCAGCGGATATCTTTGAAGCCACCTCCTAAAATACACACTGCTCATCTCTCACACGTCTTCCTTCATATATCACCCATGATCAGATTGGTGTTCCCCTCCCCTAAGCACAAGACTCCTCTCCTCTGACTGACTCTGAGCTTTGTCCCTTGAAAATATCTCTCTCCTGCCTGGCTGCCCACCCGCTTCTTCCCACCCTGTGATCTCCCATGTTTTGTCTATCGATACTCATACCCATTAACCTGTTTCCTCTAGACACCCACCCCATTGCTCATGATCACTGCACCATTCAAACCCATCAGAAAACCTCTGTTCAGGATTCAGCTTATGTATCGAGTCACACTTTTGAATCAACATGTGAAACAAAACTCAGTTATTCTTTGAAATGTACTCTTCTCTGAATCTTGCACAGGGTTCCAAATTTTTAATGCACACAAAATGCATGTACAAGGGATATATGCAAACAAAACTATGCATTTTCATGAAAATAACATTAAGAAATGCATTGCTATAGGTAAGCAGCTTCCCAAAAATGTGCATATTCTGCAGATTTGTATACAGAAATCCATTTAATAGGAGAAATGTATACAAAAATGCACAGGAATGTTCATGAAACTTTTTTTTTTAATTCCATGTTTGGGAAATTTTAACATGAGGAATTCATCCATCCCTAGCATATGCAAACAGCTGGCAAAAATGCTGTGGCAACCCCACCTCTCCTGAAAACCATATCCAAAAGTATACATTATCTTCTCTTTTTCCTGATATTGTAATTGAATACCCATTTCACATGTCAAGGTGCCTTGCAACCTTTATAGCGGAATTTGTTTGTTTGTTTGTTTTCACCCATTATAGTTGGCCTGGAGCAGCCCACTCATCCAAAACACACTGACTCCATCTTATCCATATCAAAGAAGCCTCCCTTTTGCCATCAGCTGCAGGTCTCTGCTTAAGCAAAAGGCCAGATCATCTGATGCTGTCATTGCAGTGCAGGTAACCTGGCTGGAGTCATGTGTAGGCCAAGCACTACCACTTAACCAATCTTTTAAATAGTACCCTGTCCCAAATTCCTTAGAATCTATTGCAGAGCTGGGGTGAGCCATTTCTGGGCAGTCAACAGACAAAAACAAGAGATACTTTTGAATTCTTCAGCCAGGCAAGCAGGGAGGACCAAAGGAAGTTGGAAACCTTTCTTTTCCAGCACCAGGAGAACTTTCTCCAGTGCCTAGGTATAGTTTTTTTCTCAGGCAAAGAGGGGAAGACCTGAGAAAGGCACCAGGAAAGCTTTGCCATGGACATAGTGGGTATTCAATGAACCAGGTTGGCAGTTTGCACAGGAAAATTGCATTTTCCCTTCTTGTCTGTCCATCGTTACTGATTTACTACTTTAAACTGCTTATTCCTGTGTACTCAGAATCTGACCATCTTTCCTCACTGTGTACTTTTTTTTCTGAATTCTTAATATATCTTTTACTGTTTTCACCAAAACACAGACTGTGTGGCTTGCGACTTAAAGAAGGGAGGCTCAAAAGGCAGCACAAAATATTTTGGCTCATGATACACTGTTTCAACATCCTGGTTGCACACAACATGATGAGCAAATTCCATAACTTAGCTCTGCTCCCTTAAGGACAAAAAGCAAAAAAGCTCCACACAAGGGACCCCACTGAGATACCCGGCGATCTGTTCCGAGCCTTCAGGAGCACTTGGGAACTGAGGCGACTGGTTTTGTTTTACTCTCCTTGCTGGGAGCCACTTCCAGCGGGCCCCACTGCACCAGACTCTGCACCTAGAGGTGGGCTTGCCTGTGGGCACCAGGTTGATGAACCATACCACCCTTTTTCTAGCAAGGAACCCAATGCAGCTTAATCCTCCTCCTCTCCCTTATCCTCATAATAACCCTGAGAAATAGGCTAAGGAGACAGTCAGTGGCTGCCCCAAAGCCATCCAGTGAGCTTCATGTCCAAATGGGGACTAGAATGCAGAAATTCCTGGGGTCCAAATCTGAGACTGTATGTATGCAAAACAAATGCTCTTGCTTTGCATACATAAGTCCCAGCCCTTCACTCTAACCGCTACATGGCCCTGGCTCATGCATCACTCAGCCTTGCCCTCTAAGAGACATCCTCTCCATGTCTTTGCTGCCATGGAACAAGGTCGCTTGCTAGGGAGGAGTCTTCCCTGTCCCTGCACACTGCTGGCATTCAGCTGCCTGCTAAAGATGCATTTATTTGTGCAAACATTAGGCGTACAGGCAAGTATTTCTTTTGAGTTTCTGTTGATTCTTCTGATCACTTTATTGTACTATATATGTTGAATTATGATTTTGAGGGTGTCTGTATTTTGTATTGTACTTTATGTAGGTTCTTAGCTACACTGGGCAGCTAAGATTTCTATTTCTATCCATTTTATTTATTTGATAGAAATCAAATGAACAAATGAACCTCTTCACATGCCTTTCCACCCCAGCATCATCCATACCTATGAATCTCCAAGGACCATCTGGAACCACCTTGCTGGCCCACCTTGCTTAGCTCTTTTTCTACACTGTGCATGCAGGAAACCAAAACATGGCCTGGGGCAAGTCCCCAGTAAGTAGAAGTTGCAACATTTGTGCTGTTTAATTTAGAGAAAAAGAAAAGCAAGAAGGGAGATGCTGGTGGTTTATAAAAAAATATGAATAGTATGGAGAAAAGCAGAAAGGAAAACATTTTCTTTCACGTTATACTAGGACCTGGGTTTACTGCATGAAACTGAATGATGGTAGATTTAGAAAGCAACAATATTTCTTCATGCATTGTAAACTGTGGAATACACTACCACTGGATGGAATGATGGCTGCCAAATTTAAAGGAGAATTAGACAGATTCATGGAAGGTAAGGGTATCAGTGGTTACTAGTTCTGATAGCTATATATTACGTCCATTATCAGCTACAGTATGCCTCTGTATGTCAGCTGCCAGAAACAGAAGTGTTATTGCATGC